CTGTCTGATTTTCTAACTGAGACAGAGGCTGAATGTGGGCCAAATCTAAAGTCCATTGCAAAGAAAACAAGTCTTGTCACTAGTCACCATGAAGACAGGGCTGAAATAATCTTCATCTTTCAGACCCCACTTACTTCATCCACCAGAATATATCATTAACCCTACTGTAGGCATTTTTTTTTAAGTTTCCTAAGAGGGACTCCAAAATAATCTCTATGAGACAGTCATATCCCCTAAGCTCCACTGTCATTTATAAAAAGTAGGAGACCCTCTTCATATTCCAAAAAAGGCTCAACAGAAGTTTGCATCAGGCCAAGAAAGGGCTGGCAGGCTGACTAAAATTTCTCAGATCCAAAATTGGACCAATCAAGGCCCAGCTCCCAAGACTGCTTATCCTGTGCCCACAACGTAGACTGAAGGGGAAATGACAGAATGTGAAATCGTTAAGGTCACCACAATTACGACATCAAAGAAAGTCTGCATCTAGACAAGGTCCTCCAAAAGTAAAAAATGTGCTGTTATGTTAATTGAGGTTATCTATTAGGTCAATAATCAAAGTATTACAGTAGGCATTTTGGGCTTTGTTTTTATCAGAAGGCACGTTTAGAATGCACCTAGGCTGGCCACATTTCAAATAAATAGGCAGATATCCTTAAAAACAACGAACATCCTTCTAAGAAGGGAAAGGAAGGAGGCTCTAAGGGCCTAGCTGTGGGCCTAAACTGGAAAAGAAGAGATAATGTAAATCCAGTGAGCCAGAACAAGGCGCTCAGCCCCATGAAACAAACCGAAGACAGAATATGGTTAGGTGCTGGTGAAATCAATTTTCAAAGGAGTAGTTTACAGAGTGTCTCTTTTAAAACAAGGCCAATTAAAACCCTGGGAGCCTCTTTAAATGGACCATCCTGCTTGACCCTATTTGCAAGCTCTAGTTGCTCCAGATTCAGGCCCAGGCCCTCTGGGAAGACTGGCCTCCTGGTTGGCCGCCCAGTGGCTGGGTCAGACACAGTTCCCATCTGATTACCCCTTGGGTCTTTCTCTAGGAGAAGAGAGTCCACGTCCAACCAACCTACCCAATAATTCACGGGCAATCAATCAAGCAAGCTGATCAGCACCACACAAACTGAGTAAACTCCATGGGGGCCTGAATGTTCACTTTTAAGAAGGCTGCTTTGGTGTTTTATAGACGACGGCATTAGGGTGCCTATCCGTGTACACCGACTGCTCCCTGTGGTCACAGAACAGTCAGCTTCCTCCACTTCTACACTCGCACCAACTTGGGATACATGAAGCAACTGATAAAGTTGGGATGTTGTCATGGGAACAGTCTCAAACACCCCAGTAAAGGCTCCAGCTGTCCAGCCTTAGTACCTCCACCAGGCATACCCAAAATTCTGAAGACCCCCAAGGAAGCCATTTAAGGGCTCCTACTGATCTTCTTTCCTGTCTTATCCTTACGAGGGCATCTCTCAACCCCATTCTCAGCTTTCACAGACTTGAGCTAAACCTGCTGACCTCTAAGCATAGCTGGTTTCCCCCAGTCATCAGAATCTGAAGGAGGACCAAAGTGGATCTCACAGGTGATCAGACTCTTTTGTCTAGATGAGGAAACCAAAGCCCAGAGAGGTGGTGTTGTTGCTCTGGGCACACAGCTTTGCTGGGACTGAAAAACCAGGTCTCCGGACTGCTAGTCGTGGGGCCTTCCTACACTCTGTCTTGTCCACACTGTGATCCAATCATTCAAAACATGAGTCTGAATCTGTCAGGGAAGGGTCTTAAAGAAATATCTTTCCATTCCCCCCTCTGAAGTCCAATAAATGTTTTATCAAATAACTCTGAGGGATTCATGGAAATTTCTACTCCAGCACATCTCAGCTTCCTGACATCAAAGCCACTGGGCTTGAATACATGCCCCATGCTAACATGAGCTGCTGTGGGGAATATTCTACCCCACTGCACTAATGTATTTCCTGCACGTCTGGCCCTTTAAAACCCTGACCAGTTTAAATAAACGTGATAGTCACATATGTCTAATAAGAGCACAATTGCTTTTCCTCAGAACAAATCATATTATTTAAAATCATATTATGAGAAACTAGATAAGAAAACATTTAATAAAGTTTATTATCTTCCCTGTCTCTTCAGTTATTCAGCAACAGATTTAAGAGAACCCTGCGTGGTACGATAGCCTTCCTGCCACTCTCTGGGGATGACAATCCCCAGCGCAGAGCCCGCTTGTCTCACCCAGGCTGAAAGCCCTGCTCTCATCAGTTACCCAGTGACAGGGCCTGGGCAAGAACACGGTCTCAGACACCAAGGCTGCAGTGGAGCCGGTGCGTCCCGACCAGGGCCCCACCTACAACAGAAACGACAGTCCCTTCAATTCCACCAGGGATCGATCTGCACGAGAGAAATGGGCTGAAACAGAAGCAAAAGTGTCACTGAAAGTCACGTTCCAACTTTACACTTGGTTCCTTCAAACCGTGGCATTGCTTCTCAAGTGCATTAGCAAGTTCTCCCACGGCGTTCTTGGTATCCACCCCATTCCCATCTCCCAGAGGTCTTTGAAAGTCACTTCTGTTCAAAAGGACCTAGGGAGGACTCCATCTGGAGGAAGGGTAAAAGACTGAACCACTTTTTAATGATTTGTATTAACCTCTATGGCTGGGACATTAAACAGGGTTCCTACACTGTGTTTTCAGAAAAGCAAGACGGTCTAAAGGACATAACCCAGTACTAACCCTAATTTGGGGGAAGGTGAGGATGAGGAGGAAATAAAACATCACAAGATTCTAGAAAGCTAAGTTCTACTTCCTAGGCGGGAGGGTATAGCTGAGTGGTACAGTGCACGCTTAGCATGCACGAGGTCCTGGGTTCAATCCCCAGTACCATTTAAATAAATAAATACACCTCTCCCCACAAATTAATTAATTAATTCTACTTCCTAGAAGTGAACTTTGACCCAAAGCACTCACATTCTAGGTCTAGGACCTGATACTAGTTCCTTTCAGTTTCCAATTAGCTAATTGAATGCAATTGAGTAAATATTTTAACCGTTCAGTTTCCATTTTGTCTCAGCCTTTCAAGTTATCAAAAAGGTATTGAAAGAGGATCTGGGTAAGCTGGAAGATTAATGGGAGCATAAATGTGGAATCATGCGTGTGAATGTAGGATTGCTCAGAGGTCCGGAAAGGCCCAAGGCATTTCCATTTGGGGGAGCTCACAATATATTAAAACATGGAAAAAAAAATCAAGAGTGTTGTCTGAATTTAACAAATAGATACTTTTTAACCCAAAAGAATAAATATAATTGAATTTAAGATCTTTCCTATGTATGAGGCCTGGATCAAAGGCATCACCCTACCCACAATCATCCTCCAAAGGCCCTTGACTAACACCCGCCATCTTGAACAGTCATGCAAGAGAACTTACAGCACAGTTGTTCCCCCAAAGTTACTTTCTTTTAAAATGCTTCCACAAAATACTCTGGAAACATGGAGAAGGATTATCTCCATTATATTTATTACTCTTTCAAATCACACACTTCCAAATGACCCTCATTTCACGTTCCTATTTTTTTTTAAATCTAACTATATAAGCCACTAGTGATGGTGTAGAAATAATGTGATCCTACGCGACTTCAGATTATCAGATGAAACTGAGGAGTTATTTCATAGTCTCAGAATTCTAGGTCTCATTGGAGCCTTCTGCAAACTCCAAATGCAGCTATTAAAGCCATTCTTAAAATCTCTTAAGAGCCTTTCACAATAGCATCTCTTACACATGAAGTTCTTCCTAATAACATGACTTCATCCCTCCGGTTGGAAATCAACTCTTCCCTTGAAGACAAAGGAATCCCTCAGTGGAGTTAGCGCACGGCCACTCATGATCCCCAACTACCCAGTGATGTAGTAAAAGGCTTTATCTGAACACATCCTCGCAGCCATGCCTACAGAATCCACTCCTGAATTACAACTTCCATTGAAAGTTCTCAATCCAAACACTCACTCACTTTCTCCCTGTTACTAAGGTCAGTGCAGAGAGCCACGTCTGGGAGCTCAGACTCACAGCTTCATCTTAACAAGACACAGGCTCCTGCAGTCCTAGGAGGGTCCTAAATCTTGGCAAAGACAGATGGTGAAAATGTCATTTTCCTGATTCAGCGTTGTCATTTACCAACAAGAAGGTTAATTCCCCACCGTTTCCAGTTCTGTCCACATTGAGGCCAACACTTCTCCATGGTGTCCAAACAAAACCAAAAGAATCCCTGTCTTAGAAGGCATTTGGTGCTGCTGAGTCACGTCTGCCTGTCTGGTCACAGTATCCCATTATGGAACAAGCAAAGGGTTAGTTTGTCCCCTGGTGATATGGCAAAACTCTTTGCCAAAATTGTTTTTGTTTTTTGTTTTCTGGACAGAGACATGCAGCTCTCCCAACACCCTTGCCTACCTGGGCTGCCTCACCACTTTTTTCAGTTTGGATATATACACCCTTGCCTGTTTCCAACCATTTTCCAGAATATATACTGAAGATGAATCTGCCTTTCCCTACACTGAGTCAGAAAAATTACCGATAGAAGACATCTCTAGAAAGTGAGAACGTTTGCTCTGAGCCCCAACAGCCATTGAGCTGATCAGTTCTACACTGAGCTCCATCAGGGTCACCTCTCCCTAGCTTACAGAATTTCAGAATTCCATCCAAAGAAATGGCTTTATCACAGAAATAGAGGGAAATCAGGAGGCTTTTAAATTCACAGTGATTGGAAGTCCAGACTCCATGCAGGGAACACACAGATAACACCCAAAGTAGCGCTGCTGCGCTCCAAGATAAAATCCTAAAACAAGCTAGTGAGGTAAGCACAGGTGAGGCGAGCTTCACTTCCTGCCAGCCGCCTCAGGGAGTCTGTTTTATTTTCATCTGTCTGATTCAAGGCAGGCTTCTCTTTCCACTTGGGTATTTGAATTCCAGATTCAAAAGAAGGTTTAAGAATAAAGACTTACCTCATTTACCTAAAGATTCTGGGTGGGAAATCCAATAGCTGTGGCTAATGGAGGGAAGGCAGCGAGCAGCACTCACGCCAGCTCCTACGGGGAGAGGGAACCAGGAGTGTTATCACGTCTGAGCCCTCATCAGAGTGAAGATAAATGCATATGACAATAATTTTAAATCATTTTGTAGGATGTTAAGCAATAAGCCACCAACCGGGAATTCCCTAAGTCACTTCCCCCTCTTCTGATTGGCTGCCGAGCCCTTTAAAAAAATAAAATAAAGGATTACAAACATTTGCTCATTTGCATTTGGCCAACTCACACGTTGGTGTTCAAACAAAACAGGTCTAACCAGGTTATGCCTGTCTCAGAGAACAGAGAGACAACCTGTTAATGGATGAGGAATTGACTTGGTGGTGACTGTTCTTTTCAGCTTAGAGGCTGTTTTCAGGTGACGAGCACCATGCTGGCTCCCCAAAGACACCATCAGGAAGGGAGAAATGTTCAAAACAAAGTGAGCCAACATTCAAATCTGGAGTAGATGGTGGTATAGGGAGTGGGGGCACTCTTAAACATCCGTCTCATGTATAGATCTGTATTTAGTCCCCTTTGCTTTGGCACCCCTCTGCTTTTGCCCTGACTGTACAGGCTCCAGGTTCTTAAGAGGCTCCCGGCCAGGTAGCTGGGAACACAGGTTCTCTCTCCAGGCACCATGATTACCTCCTTGACAGTGACTCTTGGCAATTTCAATGGACTTTGAAAAGCCCACCCCTCCTGGCCCCAGGTAAGAAGAGCTTTGGAAAATGTGAAGGGGTGGGGTGAGGGGTTCCTGGGAGGAAGGATCTGCTCTGAGTTGTCCAGGTAGAACAGTCAGCTCTCAGCACTGCAAAAGCGATCTAGCTGGCGGATTACTCAGAGTCTTCACCTCTCTTGACACTTCTATGGTCTTTTTTACTTTAAGTCGACACTCCCTAGAGGAGCTAGAGAGGAAAAGACCAAGATGCTGAAACTGGAAATAAAACAACACAGTTTATGCAAAAAGAAGATGAACTCCTGGGAGCAGGGGGGTGGGGTGGGGAAGAGGGGTACGGCAGGGGCAGGGATCCAGGAATTCAAATACTCATGCAATCTCCACGCCCCTGGGCCAAAGACCTGCTTCACTGGCTCACAAACGCAGGTGAGTGACGGCTCCTGGCGGGGAAAAATACCATCCCCTAACCATGAACTTTCTCCCTTAGATCTTCTTGGACACTGGCCTGGCATGAGCTAAGTGTCTAAGCAGATTTCTTTAACTCACCAGGCCTCTCCTCTGTGGGAGAGGAAAAGAAAATGGAGTTTTGGCAAAGAGACAAAGACTGTGATCAAAACCGAGAAGTCCCTTTTGTGAAAAAGGAAAGTCTGTATATGGGCAAACATTGAACAGAACAAAAAGTAAGCAGTTGTCCTATTAAGGCAGAGTGGTGAGTGAACGGTAGGAGCAGTCCTTTCTTGCTCATTCTCTTAGTGTGGGCAGTGTGAACGCAGGGGCTTTGGAAAGTGTAAAGGACTTCGTGGGGTGGACTGCGGAGGGCCTTAGAACTTAGGTGGGCTTTGCAGGTTTGGAGAGTGCAATTTAGGGAGGGTCAGAAAAGCCCCTTAATCCCTGTAACTTTCACTAAATATTTCCACCATTCCCTGCCTTCAACCTGTCTATGTCCCAAAGGGCTTGTTAAAACGCAAGTATCTGATAAATACAGTAATTGTCATTATTGCCCATTATCATATTAGCCCCAATTAGTCGTATCAGCTCCAGATCTGAGAGCAGGGCCCTGAGGGAACAGACTGGTGATGTTTTCTGCTTAAAGATTACTCAGGAGCAATCTGAAGTAGCAACCTCACCCTCTGCAGGGGTGTGTGTGTGTGTGTGTGTGTGTGTGTGTGTGTGTGTGTGTCAACGGGGTGCTATTAGAGCCTGTGTAACTAGGCCTTCTTTACAATTTTGCCTGAGATTAAGCTGAGACAGCAGGGAAGTAGGTGGGAGGTAGGGGTTGTTTGCTTCAAAAGCAACTCCAGAAGTGATGTGACTCTCCGGTCCAGTCCTAGCCACTTTGCGTTGTAGGTTTTCTCATGACTCACTGAAGAATTCCAGTTACATCTCCATTTCTTCATCCACTCTTACCTACTCATCAGCGGACTGCCCCATTGAGGCACTCCTGAGAAGGGTCATTTTAGGGATGGTAGTGGTGAAAAGGGATGGAAAGATGTCATTTTATATTCACAAGCCACTTCATTTGTGGAGTCTTCATGTGTATAAATAAAGTACCTAACAATGTGTCTGGTCCTTAGTGGGTTCTTATTAAATATTGGTTCTGTTCTTTACTGGGGGCATAGTCAAACCTCCCAGAAGAAAAACAAAACATCTTCCTCCCCAATCCAAAAAAAAAAAAAAAGACTAGATTTTTAGGTATGTCACATCCATAGAGAAATTCCTTCAGAGTATGAGGTCTTTTACCCTATGGTTAACTTCAACAAGTCAGCACTTAGCATCAAATTAGAAAGATGGATGTTTACATAGCTGGCTAGCTAGATAGATAGATCAGTGGATGTCACATCCATAGAGAAATTCCTTCAAAGTATGAGGTCTTTTACTCTGTAGTAAAAGAAACAGCACTTATACCAAATTAGACTGATGGATGGGTGGATGGATGGGTGGATGGATGGGTGGGTGGATGGATACATAGGTAGATAGAGAGAGAGAGAGAGGATGCATAGAGGATGGAATGGGTGGAGGTCCTGATTTTTAACTGAGAATGCTAAAAGTTGGATTTGGTGCTGAAGCCTTTGATGGCAAGAGTCTGAAATATATCAAGCATATCCCATGGATAAAAAATTTAAACGTGTAACCACAAAATCATCGAACACACCAGAGCCTTTATATAAACACATTGTTAGTTTCTTAAAAGTCATAACTTTCTGGAAGAGGAGTCAGGCAAGAGTCTCATTATCATGTCAGACCTCCAGCCCCAGCATAGATTCCATTCATTCTATGGTCCCAGGATCTCTGAGACTGATAAGGCCCGGGGGAGTTGAATAGAGTGATGAGACAAAGTTGACTGCCTGGGTTTTAAGGATGGGAAGACTTAAGAGAAAGAAGCAAAGCAGCTTGCCCTCAGGACAAGATCAAGATAATATTGGGAACTGGAACCAACTCTACAAATCCAATTACCCTGCATAGAAACCTTTCTGGTTTCAAGGCCCTATCACTGTCTCAGACCTGTGCAGGGACACTGGAGTCCTTGAGTCAAGTCATGACACTGGTGCCCACAGAGGAAAAGGGGGGGCAGAGCAAACCAGACCCGGCTGTGTGCAGTGGCCTGGGGACTCTATGAGTTCAGCTGGATTGTCTACTAGAAGATCCACATCTCAGAACCAATGAACCCCAGGGACCTTAATTCCTAAATCAAGGCCAAGACAAAGAATCTCTCTGAGCCAAGTATCAAGCCCTAAGGGGTCGAGTCTTAATACCAACACAGGCTGTGGTTACAAGGTTAATGAGAGCTGTGTGCTTGCTGTGCAAAAAGGAGGATGCTGGCTTACTTACACAGCACCTTTTAACTAGAGGCCCTCTATTTATTTTTGAAAGCAAGTGTGTGTTTATATATGTTTCTGTCTATCATCCCCTCTTGATGAAATGGAATTACCTCCAGGGCAGAATATGACAACTATGACAAGACTATTACTCTAGAACTGACAGGAATAAAGAACTCTGTCTAGTGGGGGAGGGGAGACAAAGAACAGCATATCACCAAATAGAGTCAAATAAGGAACTAGGGTTAGTAAGTTTCAACTTGCCTCTTACCCTACTCCCTTCTAAAAGCCACTTTTCTGAAATCCTTGCATTTTGGCTTAGATTTGCTTCCCAGGGATCTTCATATCCTCTGAGGAGAAGCTTCATGGGCCCTGAAGGTGGCACCTGAGTTCCATTTGGGAGACCTGATATTGACGGCATCCTAACGAAAACACATGGCACCTTCCGACCATGTCTTTTGCCATCACTTCTGTGCTACACGCTGAGAATATCCTGTCAACATCACATGCCACTTAACTGCTAAAGTGGGGACAACCTTGGTGCTGGAGTTGGGGAGGGTGGTTCCCCATTTCTGGAAAACAATGACCCACTGTGTGCACACACACGTGCACACATACACACACACGCACTATGTCAGACATCTGGATGCATTACCAGTCTTACCTATGAACCAAAGATAAATGTTCTGAACTCCCCCTTTATATTTTAATTATTCTCAAGACACCTCCATTCTTGCCTGATTTAACTCATCCCTTCTGCCTCACATTTATCTTATTACTCTCTTTCTGGCCTCATCTCTCCTCACAAAGAGGTTTCCACAGTGCCCTGACATAATGCCAACTCCACTGTTGGAATAAGCACTTTGGTCCTTGAATCAAACCACCTTGAGCATCTACACAGTATTTCCACCGGGGTCTTCAGGAAGGTTCACCTCTCATCTCAGAGATCAAGGGAAGACCAGGCAAAAGTTGATGACTTCCAAGCCACCCTCTTGCAGTCAATATTTTCATCTTTTTCTGTGTGGGGGAAGAGTGTCTAAATAATTAGAATGGTTATTTTTATATATTATTTTAGCGTTAGAACTCTTTTTCCACTATCATGACACCCCCAAATATAAAAGAGGGTAAAGAGATGCTGCTGCAGATGGTCTGGAGGTGAGGCAGGTACTCAGTCTTCTCTGACCCCAGTGTCCCTGCTCTAAGCCAATGGAGCATGGTTCAATATCACTTTTACAACTTAGGGGTTCCTGCCCACACCTACCAAACTGGCACTTCAAAAGGTGGGTGACAGCAGCGACAATAATCAATTTGCACTTGTCACCATCTATGTATATTTTGTAGGCTCCCATATTATTCCACTAATGATAAACCAGAGGACTAGGTTCCTACTGTCCAAGAAGACGTTTTAATGGGAGGGACCTTGGGTGAAGGTCTCATGCCTCATCTCTTTCACCCAAGGGACCATGGGAGACAGCAAACTCTCAGACCCAAGCAGAAAATGTGTAAAGTCACCATCTAAATGCCTAATTATTTGGGAGAACCTGTGATGCTGCAGGACTAGGGATGCTCAGAACCTATTCCCTCACCCTCAAAAAAAAG